CTGGAGTGTGGCTTGCTGAAGGTCACAAGCACTATAAATAGTTACTATATGAGCCCAGTTTATTCCTTCTGAAAGCTCGTAAAGCTGTTCTCTCTACATCATACTGAATACTTTGACTTTCTGAGTATTTTAAATTATTCTGTTTTCTTATTTAACAGTGCCTCAAATTGTAAGAAACTCCATAAATTTAATGGCAAAATTTTATAGAAAAATACTATCACTTAAAGATATAAACTGCTTATAGATACACATCCAAATTCCAGAAATGTCAAAAAGTAAATGTCAAAATAGTAAGTAACATGATATATATTATAACACACTTTCACTATATCCCCAAACCTTAATCTATAATTTCTTTTTCTTTTCTTTTTTTTAATCCTCACCTGAAGATATTTTTTCCATTGCTTTTCAGAGAGTGAGGAGGGGGGGAAGAGAAGCATCCATGTGAGAGAGACACATCAATTGGTTGCCTCCCACACGTGCCCCAACCAGAGCCAGGGATAGAGCCTGCAACTGAGGTATGTGCCCTTGGCTGGAACTGAATCGAGGACCCTTCAGTCTGCAGGCTGACGCTCTAACCACTGAGCCAAATCGGCTAGGGCCCTAATCTATCATTTCTTACCAGTCTTGGCAAGGATTCTATCAGAACATCAAGATTAGAATGCTTAAATATATTTAATTCCAGAACTGAATTCTGTTAACTACCAGAGTTCATTCTTTGAGTCTTCTAGCTTAGACTTGAAGAAGTCTATCTTTGTTGTAGGCAAGAAGGTACTTTTTTTTAAAATTTATCTTTATTGTTGAAAGTATTACAAATGTCCCAAGAAGATACTTCTTAAACCACAATATGTAAGTTACAAAGACAATTTTTAACAGATAAGTAATTCTACAAAATGATGAAATTAAATTAAATGTTTAAGAAATTGGAAAGAATAAACTATCTAGCTGTATCTATACCTAGAATACCTGAAATCTCACTCACTTGTCTGAAGCTAGAACTTGAGCCGTTCTTACTCGGGCGTTACTCTCTCAGCTCTGAGAACGGGCTAGCTCACTTCAACTAGGACCACCTCTTCGCAATGAATGCTGCCTCCACACATTACATACAAATACTGGAATGACAGGTTGTGTAATTAATATAGTCTCCATAACTTCTGAATTTTTACATTGGTATGTTACAAAACCCAATTTTATTATTTCAAATACTGGGTTAATAAAGTAAAAATATTCTTACTAACTTTTTAAAAGCAGTAAAGAAATATCTTTCAGCTTAACTACCATATTCTTAGTAGGGGACTTTTTTCCTCCAAAGGGGGGGGG